GACTATCAACCACCACCACCACCACACCCCCCCCCCACACTCCCTGTTCCCTTGTTCCCGCCAGCCGTTTCAGCTGCATGCCAAGAGCTGGGTCAAGGAGCTCCAAGACCGCGACGACTGTCAGGTGGGAATAATGAACACGCGCATGTGTCTGTGTGTGTGTGTGTGTGTCTGTGCTTCTGTGTGTGTGTGTGTGTGTCTGTCTGTCTGTCTGTCTGTCTGTCTGTCTGTCTGTCTGTCTGTGTCTGTGCTTCTGTGTGTGTGTGTAAGTGTGGCGCTTTATCTTCTTCGCTGTCCCCTCTTTCTCAGCACACACTCGCACATACACATGCATATGCGCGCCCGCCCTTCGCCCCCTCGTCCAATTGCAGGTGAAGGCGTTTGACTGTGGCCACTGGGTGCAGGTCGACAAGGCAGATGAGCTTTCCGAGACCATCCTCGATTTCATCACCACACACACCAAGTAACGCGCCGCTGCCAGTGCTGCTGCCCCGCGTGTCGTGTTCTCTTCCCAACTTGCCTGCAAGCATGCATCCAAACATGTGCTGGCATGGTTGTTGTTACCGTGTCATGTCGCGCCAGCCCGACTGTTCCTTCTCCGCTGTCACCACACGCACTCTTTCTTCGTCTGCAACGGCCTGCACGCGTGTGTTATTGCGTTGCTCAGCTTGCCTGACGTGCCACTTGCTTCTGTGCCCCTGAGTATGCAATGTTACGTTCCGCCAACCCAATACACGATGGTGCGCTTGCTCACCAAATGGTTCACACGGACTTCATGCGTTCAGTCATTCGGCACTTCATTGACGGTGTGCATGAACGCACACTGTGTAGCTGTAACCTGGGGACAGACAGAAGAACAACAGAACAAAAACAAGAGTCGACTCAAAGTTGTAATGCAATGTATAATACTACTCGAATGCACAGCAACAACGTGCAGAAACGCATCTCGCATACACGCGTCAACTATGAGCAACCACACACAACGAAGCAAACACACCCTTCTCAACTCCATTCATCCTCTCTCCACCCTCTCCACATCACGCGTTGCTGGACCCCTGAATGTCGTGGAAGAAAGGGTTGGTTGGATCAATTCCCTTTGGCCGCTGCTGCGACTGCTGCTGCCGCCGTCGCTGCTGTTGTGCCAGCGTGCCCGTTCCCAAACTGACCGATCGTGGGCCAAGCGCGCGCCGCGTGTGTGCGTGTGTATGGCCATCACCACCACCCCCATTATGATGTGTGTTGTGACCGCGCGGGCTGGCATTGCTGCTGCCACGCCCCTTGGCGTCATGTGCGTGCGAGTGCGCGGGTGCGGTGCTAGGGCGGTGGTGGCCCTGTTGCTGCTTCCACAGCTCCTCAAGCGGTGGTGGCCAAACAACAGACGACTGGTGCTGTTGTGGTTGTTGGTGCTGTTGCTGTTGGCGCTGTTGTTGGTGCTGCCGTTGTGGCTGCTGCTCTCCCGTCAGCACGCCGCGGCGCTGTGTGTCCCCACTTCGCCTCTGCTGCCTGGTACTGTTGTCGTCGTCGTGCACGCGCGGCGCTGGGCCCTGGACAAACAGGGAGCGGCTGCGATGCATGCGGCGGTGGCGCCCCTGTGCCCTCATGCTTGCCTCCACACCATCACCACCATTGTCACCATCGCCACCATTGTGGGTGTAGTCGCCAAGTAGCAGCGCCAGGAACGGGTTTGAACGGCCAAAGCGCGCGACCAGCTGCTCCCGCGTCCAGCTGCGGTCCTCAGGCCGCTTCCACGACGATGATGATAACGACGATGATGATAACGACGATGACGGTGCCGTTGTTGATGTTTGTGTCGATGGGGTTGATCGCTGCTTTCCCTCTTGGTGTTCGTGCGGCTGCGGCTGCGGCTGCAGCTGCGTTGTCGTCGCCTTCTTGACCTGTTGTAGATTGACGTTGCTCAGGCTCGGCGGCCACTGCAGCACCACCGGTTCGCTCGACCGCTCGTGTGCACCCGCAGCACGCCCCACCCGTCCATCAGCATCACGATCATCGTCACCACGGGCACACGCTGCACCTTCCGTGTGTACTTGCTGTCGCTGGCGCTGTTGTTGTTGTTGTTGTTGTTGTTCTTCTTCTTCTTCTTCTTCTTCTTCTTCTTCTTCTTCTTCTTCTTCTTCTTCTTCTTCTTCTTCTTCTTCTTCTTCTTCTTCTTCTTCTTCTTCAATCTCGTCTTCAACCTCGTCATCATCGTCATCTATTGCGGTGATGCCTGCTGCTGGCGCTGCTGGTGCTTGCTGCATGTCAGTTTGTTGCGCTGTCGGTTTGCTTGTGGCATGCGCACGTGTGATGTCGTCATCTGTTGTGGATTCTGCCGCCAATGCTGCAAATGGGTTTGCGCTGCTGTCTTTCCTCGAACCGCCTGCCACTGTTTGCCCCTCCCTGATTCTCACACCCGCACCCTTGCGCCCACTTGCTTCATCCCGCTCACCACTCTGGCCCTTCGTCTCCTCTTCCTTCTCTTCCTCCATACCCGGCATCACCTGCTCTTCCTCTTCCTCTTCCTCCTCGCTGGCCTCCGGTATTGCCTCGGGCCACTGCTGCTGCTGCCTCTGTTGCGACGCCGGCCGCAAGCGTGGGCGCGGTGGAAGCGGTGGCGGTGTCAGCAAGTCCGCACTCCCTCCTCCCACTCCTGTTGTTGTTGGTGCTGGTGCTGGTGCTGGTGGGTGCAGCAGCGTGGACGCCGAGGCCGATGGCGATGTCAACGACGGTGCCGTGGACGGGCGGAGCGTGTTTGCACCAGCAATGTCAAAGCTAAACGCGGTGGTCGCACCATCTGCCTCCCGGCGTGTTGCCGGTGATGAGAGGCGTGCGGACCGCGCTGCGGGCGACTTGACCACGGTGGCATAGATGTCGCCGTTGACGAAGAACGAGGACCCACGCGTGACAATCTTCAGCGCGGGGGAGTGCGTCTGCGATTGCGTCTGTGAGCGCAATTGTGATTGTGACTGCGATTGAGAATTCTGTGATGACGGCGACGATGATGACGAGATGGCGGTCGAGACGCGAGCAGCAGGGAACGCTCCATGTCCTGGTGCAGCCGTCGTTTCCACGTCTTGTCCTGTTGTTGTTTTTGACGGTATTGTCGCATCAGCAGCATCGGAAGCAGACATAGCAACACCAGCATGTGGGGTGGTGCCGCCATCACCACCATCACCACCATCACCACCATCACCACCATCACCACCATGAGAGACATCGTCACGCCGCAGCGTGTGACACTGCTTGCACTGGTCCGAGTACAGGCCGCGGTTGACGGCACCGCAGTTGCGACACGTCCAGTCTCGGTCCTCGCTGGGATCAAGCTCCACCATGTCGCTCAGTGATGTTCGGGACGACGAGATGCGCTTGCTGCTGTCCTCCTCAATCTCGTCGTCCGTGCCCATGGAGCTGATCACGCTCACGTTGTCATCATCGTCGTCGTCGTCGCTGCTGCTGGTACTGCCATCGTTCGTGTTGGTGGTGGCGGCGGCGGCATGGGCGCGTGCTGGCGGTACTGGTGGCAGGAGACCACGGGACGGCGCACGCGTGTCTTCCACGTCACTCTCGTCGCTGCTGTTCATCGGCTCAATTGGACTCGCAGATCCACTGCTGTTGACCAGCGCAGCATCACCGCCACCATCGCCATCACTACCAGCTTGTGCGTCATCTTCGTCGCTGCTGTTGACCAAGCCATCGTCGCTATCGTCCTCGTCACTGCTGTTGACGGAACCAAACACGTCGTGGCGCCGGCCCTCAGTGCGTCCTTCCGTCCGCATTCGTGCGCGCGCCCCGTTCTCGCCCATGCCAGCGTGCCCACCCTTGCCACCACCGTCGTCATCGCTGAGTTCATCGGCGCTGCTAATCACCTCATATCCGTCATCGCCATCCCCACCGCCACTGCTCGGTTTGTTCTTCTTCGTCTTCAATGCGCCAGCATCGTCCTCCCTCGGAAACGCAAAGGGCTGGTGGTGATGGTGGTGTTGTTGCTGTTGTGCTTGTTCGTGTTGCTGCCGCTGCTGTTGTTGATCTTGCAACTCCCATGTTGTTCGTACTGCTTCCCGCCACGACATCCTCTGCTGCTGTTGCGGCTGTCCCTGTTGTTGCTGCTGTTGTTGCTGTGGAAAGAACGGCGACCTGCCTGCCAGCAGACGGTCGTCCCCGCTTTTCGGTGCACCAACACCAACACCAACACCAACACCAACACCAATGTTACCATCGCTTGTGTCAGCGCGACAGCGGCGGCGGCTGCTGCCACGCCCACCATTGCTGCTACTGCTTGTGATGTCGTCATTGAGGAGGGGTCGCCCGCGTGCGCGCATGTGTGCGGGTGCTGTTCCCGGACGCGGCATTGTTGACGCGGGGCGACCGCCACTCACACGCAGCTGATGGCCGATGAGGGAGGCGAGAGGGAGGGGGGTATGGGTGTTGGGGAGTGGTGTTGTGGAGGATGTTAGACAATGATTGGTTGGATCGTTGAATATGCGCAAGAAGATGGCGCACAGATGCAGAGAGAGGGACAGACAGACAGACGGCGAGCCAGACTGACAGACACACCGCATCGAGGCCGTTGAGAGCAAGGAGTCGGGCAATGTGTGCAATGACGGCGCCAGACTGGACGAGGCAAGAGAGGTAGAGAGAGTGTGTGGGTGAGCAAATGTGTGGTGTTAGTGGAGATGTGGATGACTCGGACCACATGCACACACACACATGCACACACATGCACACACACATGCACACACATGCACGCACACACATACACTCACATGCACACACACAAGTACACATGCGCGCGCACACATGCACACACACATTCACGCGAACAATAGCAGCGCACCTGTTTGCAGGAGAGGATGACGAGCTGGTAGTTTTCATCTGTTGCGCCACCAATCTCGGGTGACGATGTTCGTTCTGGCAGAGCCTGCACACCACGCAAAGAGGAGGCAGGCAGAGTGGGGGAGGTGCACCAAAGGAAAGGCGGGATTATTGTTGTGCGTGGTTGTGTGGAAAGAGAACTGCATCGATCGGAAGCAGGGGCAGGAAGGGGCGAACGAAATCAACGTAAAGCACGCACCCACACAAATGAACACACACACACACACACACACACACACACACACACACACACACATGAACATGAACACACACACATGGACACACACACACACATGAACACGAACACACACACATGGACACACACACACACACACAAAATGAACACGCGGCCACACCTTGACGGCCAGGACAAGAAACGGCGTTGCAAACCATCGGAGTTCTTGGTAAGCGCCCACAACGCGGTCCAGTTCATACTTCATCAACACCGACTGAACCAAAAGAACACGCGTTGGCACAGAGAGGGACGACAAGCGGGCCCGCGTGCGCATGTGAGACGTGAAATGCGATGAATCGGCAGCACACTGTTGTTCCCTGTGGCAGGCAAATACGCAGTAGGTACAAAACGGCGTGGAGATGCTCACGGAGACGGGCGTGCTGTTGATGTAGATGGCATCCGGCTTGAGCAGCACAGACACGCGCTGTGTGTGTTGCAACGAGCGATGCCTTTGCGCTTCTTGTCGTGCGCGTTCCTCGTGCAAGTGTGGAAGCAGTGGCCCAACCGCAACCGTGTCAAACAACTAGCACATGTGCCGATGTCGTTGAGTTGTGTGCGGGTGTATATGTGTGCGTGTGTGATTGCGCATGTGTGAGTGGGCAGTTAAACAGTTGTTGGGAGATGCGTGTTCTTCCTAGATCACAAAGTATGCTGAGGGAGGAGGCGTGTTCTTTCTGTGCCAAGGAAGCGGGTGCAGCCATGCTTGCTTTTTGAAGCGATCGCATTGACGCCATCATGCGTTTTGCACATGGTGCGTGAAATGAGGGGGGAAGACGCAAGGCCCACCTTTGCTTGGAATGTGATGTCTTCTCGATCATAGTCGGCGAGGGAAGCCGGCGGGTCCGCGATGGCCCGCCCTGATTGGTGGACCGAATGTTGTGTGTGTGTGTGTGTGTGTGTGTGTGTGTGTGTGTGTGTGTGTGTGTGTGTGTGTGTGTGTGTGTGTGTGTGTGTGTGTGTGTGTGTGTGTGTGTGTGTGTGTGTGTGTGTGATATGATGAGCGTTGTTGTTTGTTGTGTTGGCATGTCGTGTGGGGTTCATTCTCTTGGCGTCTCCTCTGCTCACCAATCCACGCAGGGGCACTCAGAACAGCAATCAAGATGCAGGGCCACAACAACAACAGCAGCAGCAACAACAACAACAACAACAACAACAACAACAACAACAACAACAACAACAACAACAACAACAACAACAACAACAACAACGCCACACACACACACACCATATCCACCATGCTTCCCCCCCCCCCCCCCCAACACAGCACCACCATGTCAACAAACTCACTCGTCGAGCGCCTTCGCAGCAGCCCAAACATCGTTGTTTGTTAATGACTCCGTACAATTTTCCGCAACCGCACAAAACTTTGTCCTCCCTTTCAACACAAGAAAACGACAACAGCTGCCGACTGGCGCAGCTCTCTCAGTCTCTCTCAACTCCCATCCCAGGCATGCCACCGACACGGCTTCGGCGGGTGCCGGTGCTGTTTGGCGCACTGCACATGGAGCCCGAGCACCGCGAGTGGTTCCTGCAGGACACCTGTGTGAGTGCGGCATTGTTGTTGGTGTTGTTCTTTGGCTTCAAGGCCTACTACAGACACGCAACGCCCAGCAAGACAGCGCGGGGCCTCTCCTGGTTTCTGGCAACGGTGGCTGCTGTCGTGCAGTCATCCCTTGGCGCAGGCTACGCCCTGCAGGTGCTGCGTGACCCCGACGGTGCAGCGGACACCGTGTGGGGCGACGACCGCGTCTCCCGGCTCTCCGTGACGTTCTTCGGCGTGTTCCTGGTTGTTGATCTTGTGTTGGGGGTTCTGTTCTACCGCAAGTACGTCGACTGGCTGTCAGGATGGCTGCACCACGTGCTGTACCTGCTGCTGGTGTGGACGCTGCTGGAGCACAATGCGACGGGCGCTCTCATGCCGCCGTTTCTCGAGGAGATTCCGACGGCGCTGCTGGGCTTGGGCAACATGTTCCCTGCGCTTCGGCAGGACCTGCTGTTTGGCTTCACCTTCTTCACCACCCGCATCCTGTTCCACGTCTGGTACACGGTGTACCTGGTGTCCTTCTACCTGGGGCTACGCCGCACGTTGGCGTACCAAGACCACCCTGCGATGCTTGCCTCGTGCGTGGCTGTGGTTGCCGCCACCCTCATGCACATTGTCTGGTTCTCGTCCTGGTGTCGTCATCTTCCGCGCTACCTCTCCGCTTCTTCCAAAAAGCGTCGATGAGATGGGGGGAGAGAGAGAGAGAGAGAGCGTGTGTTTGCTGTGATGGGGGGGGGGTCAAATGAAAAGAGCGCAGATTTAAGGATGGGGATGGAAGGCTTCTTGCTTGCTTGCTTGCTTTGCTTTGGTGTGCTTTGCTTCTTGCTTGCTTTGCTCGTGTCTTCTTCGCCCTTGGCATCCTATGCGACTGAATTCAGCTAGACTGGAATCAGTGTCAACCAATTTGTTCGGTCACTGCGCAACGCCGCTTGTTGCCCTGCACATGGTGTAGAGCGCGCTTGCCTATTGCACTTGCCTGCAGGCAAACAAGCAACAGCAGCAGCAAAAGCACGGAGCAAAAGCAAAGCAAAGCAAAGGATACGAAGCAAGCAAGCCAAGCGAGCAAGCGAGGAGTCCGAGAAGGGAGGATACAGACACTCACACCCCTACACACACACACACACATTGCACGCACCCAACACACAAACGCGAAGATGGCTGACTTGGTGAAGCGGAAGGACAGAGTCGGCGGTGCGCGCCACAAGACCACTACTGTGGATGGTCCACAGCCACAGCTGCTGCTGCACCACCACCAATCCGTGAGCACAGACTGGGAGCTGGAGGTGGTCCCTGCTGGCCACACGAGCACCGCATCCTCAACAACAACAGCAACGAGCCACCGCGCCCATGCACGCAACGCTAACGCCGACGACGCTGGTGCCCTTCCCCCACAGCTGCACCACCCGCTCGGCCCAACCGACACAGAACAACAACGTGGTCACCCCCAGCAATCCCGACACGAGGTGGCATGGACAGAGTTCCACGAACCAACACAGCAAGAACAACCGGAGGGCCATGACGGCGCCCCACCTCCGCGTGCTGGAGACGCACAGCCAACCAACACCAACACCACCACCAAAAGAACAGCAGCGTCAGCTGTGCCTGCATCCACAGCCCTGCCGAATGTGGACTCAAAGAGCTTCATTGCCACGGCGTCGCCGGACGACCTGCGATCGGCGCTCATGGCCAAGGTTCGCGAAGCCCAGGAGCTGCGCGCGCATCTGCACGAGCGCGTGCGCGTGTACGAGGCCCAACTGGACGCGCGGGACGCGCGCATCCTCAACCTGGAGCAGCGGCTGGGCACCCTGCAATCCCAGGTGCAGCCGCTCCGTGCAGACTCGCGGACTGCGCTGCGTCTCCGCGAGCAACTCGCCGAGCAGGCCGCCACCATTCAGCAGCTGCGCGCCCAGCTCGCTGCTGCCACCCCCGATGCTGGCGCGCCTGACCTGAACGCGCAAGATGCAGCGCCGTCCCGCGAGCACGCCGAGCTCCAGCGTCACCAAGGCAAACGCATCGCGCACTTGGAAATGGAGCTCGACCGGCAGCACCAGCGCGCACGGGACGATGCAGCGACCATTGCCCGCCTCACGGCCATGCTGGACGACGTGCGGTTCCAGCCATCATCTTCCACGCCAACGCCCTACTTTCCAGCAGAAGGTCAAGAAACGCACACCGTGGCTGCATTCCAGGCCCAAGTCGACTTTGACGATGACGATAACGACAACGATGACAGCGACAACGACAGCAGTGATGATGGCGATGAAGCCGAGCAGGAACAACTACTGCAACGTGGCGATGAGCGTGCGCTTGAGCCCAAGCACTCAGGTCACCATCACCAGCATCATCACCATCATCACCATCATGATCAAAAGCATCACCACAACAGAGAAACGGCCGCAGAGCTCCTGCAGACGCTGGCGCAGGCCGGGGGCGATGCGCTCAGGCACGCCATTGTGGGCGACCCCGCATCCGCAGAAGCGCCAGGTCGCCACGACAGCGAGCGTGAGCGTGAGCTTGAGGACGAGATCATCCGCCTCCACAGCGAGCTGGCAAAGTCCCAGGCGCAGCTGCGCAGCTGGCGGCACACAGACTTCGCCAGTGGCCACGGAGGCAACCTGCACCTGCGACCGGGAAGCAAGAGTGGCCACAGCCGCAGCGGCAGCATCACGCCCACCGCGCTCACAAGCTCAATTGTGGACAGCAGGGTGCAGATGGTTGACCCGGACTTTGGCACCATGGCGCAGATGCGTGTCCGCATCATCGAGCTCAGCAAGGAGAAGGACCGCCTGCACGCCATGATGCGCGCGCGCCCGTGCTATCTCCGCATTGTCGACCCCGCTGCTGATGACGTCGAGGAGGACGACGGTGCATCCAGCGTTGTGTCCGGCTCATCTGTCGTCTCCAGCACCGCCACTTCCTCCACCTACCAGCAACACGAGCACCAGCAAAACCACCACCAGCAGGGCTACGACGACTACAATGACCCTTCCCTCACCTCTGGTCGGGGCCGCAACGACAGCTTCACGAGCGCAAGCAGTGCCGGTTACTCGTGGGCATCGGCGCCCTCCAACCACCAGCAACGTGCTCCCCCATACGAGGCGCCCTCCGTCGTGCTGAGCGCGGGCGCGCGTCGAAACTACCTCACGCCCACGCGGCGGCAGCGCCCCCAGGCACACGTGCCAACGCATGCCAGCGCACAGCACGCGCAGCAGCACGTCTCGCGTGCGCCCGCAGCAAGCAACCGGCGGGTGTCTGGCGGGGCTGCGTATGGCACCAGCACGCTCTCCAGCTCAACGCCGCGGCGCGTGAGCCAGGGCGATGGTGACCAGCTCTCGTGGACTGCGCTTGGCTTT